CCATCCTCCCCAATTAAGGTGCCACCAACCTCCTGTGGTGTCCCTCCCTACTAATTGGGGTCAATTCTATTGCACTTCAGACACTTCTGGGAGTGAACTGAAGTCCTCTTTGAAAATGAATGTCACATCTCAATCTCATCTCCTGAATTGGAAGGGAATTTAACCCACCTAACCCTGTAGCGTCCCTGCTATCCTCCCCTCTCAGGTATTTACTTTTCGGTGTGTCTGGCCCTCATGGTCATCAGCCTGTTGGAGACGGTCATCATCACCAACGTGCTCCATTCCAACTCCAAGAAGTACCGCGAGGTGCCCCACTGGGTCCGTGTGGTCATCCTGAAGCACGTTGCCCGTATGATCTGCTACCAGTGGCCCAAGGAGCTCGTTAAACCCACGGCCTCCAGAGGATCCACCCGGGATGACAAGGCAGACAGACCAGACTCCACAAGCCCTCCCTGGGTCCTTGCACCAGCCACCCCTGTGCACACCCCTGTCCAGCACACTACAAGCAACATTGGTGAGGAGCCATTCACGGGGAAATTTGACTAGCCGACATGAAACTGTTATAAAGTAATAGTCTGGCCTCATTTCCATATCTACTTCCATCTAAGTCAATTTAAATACTTTACGATTGAAAGTGTTCATTATTTCAATTGGAGTGTTCTTACCATTCATTTCCGGAATTGAAATTGACTGGGTTACCAGGGAACTGGCCCAATCCCTGCCACATACCAAATCAGCATATTATCAGAAAGCTTTAACACCCTTGTAGGTAATATGCTGTTATTGTGAACATGTGCTTGCTCAAACATGATCAACTGGGTATTGAGCATCCAGTCTGGATGACCAACAGCAGTGTTTCAGCACTATAGGCTAAGCATCTACGCTCGTCACTTTTCTTTTCTAGGTCCTGGGGGGGTGTCCTCTGTGCCTGAACTGCGTCAGATCTGCCAGGACCTGAGCGACTTGCGCGCACACCTAACGTTGATGCAGAAGGAGGACGTGCTGCAGGAGCAGTGGTGCCACGTGGGCTATGTACTGGACTTCCTGCTCTTCCGTATCTACCTCATCCTCATCTCCTGCTACGCCATGGTCATCATCTGCATGTGGTGCATCTGGGTCAACCAATGAGAGACTTGGGGAGACCGAAAGGGTGCATTCGTTTTTGGCTTGCGATTTCCATTGGTCTAAAAGTGAAATCTCCGATCACCCCGGGCCAGTGGACGAGCTAAAACAAATGCACCCAGAGAGAGAAGGAAAGTAGAGGGGGGGGGGGGGGGGGGGGGGGTGAAAAGAGCTAGACCAATGTACAGGGGGTGCCATAAGTCTCTGAACAATTGTTCAATTTGTATTGATTTTTTGTCATGTGGAAAATCGAGTTTTGCACCCCATGTAATATGCCCCCTATAGTCCATGTAGGTTTACTACACATGTCAATATGTTATTTATCTGATAAACTAAATGCCTGTGGAGATTAGTGAAACGATACCACGTTCACCAAGAATAACACCCCACTGAAGGTTTAGAAGCGCCGAGGTCTGAATACACGTTCTTCATGAACAGTAACTAAAAAGTACTCGACTGTTAGAGCTGTGTTCTGTTTGTGTTCTGTGTGTGTTCTGTGTGTGTTCTGTGTGTGTGTTCACACCAGCCCTTGCTATTCCAGTCCTCATTACCCACAGGGCTCAATTAACACTTACGCCTGGTAACAGCCTGCGATGCTGGAAAATAACAAAATGGAAAATAGCTATAAGTTCACATAATTGTCATGCCTTCTGCTCGACTCCATTCGCTTCATTGTCTAAATAAAAATATGTCTTCTGGCAGAAAAATATCAAGCCATGGTTACGTCCCAATAATCTCTCCTTCCTCCTCATGTGTGGCCTCGTTCACTACTCAACACAAGTTTTAAAGCATTAGATCGGTGTAAGGCACGGGCTCGAGGGAGTTTCCATAAACCAGTCAAGTGCACTCTTCAGGAGAAAGAAGATTGGGATGCAACCCAAAGCTACTTTGGCCCTAAGGGCCACCGTACAAACCGCCCATCCCATCCCACAATCCCCCAGGAAAAAAGCAACGGCACCAGTAGAAACAGTCTGACCAGTCTTTTATTGTCATCATAATATTAGAATAATATAACAGTACATAAACACAAACAATAAAACAATAGCATTTTCTTCCAGTAGTTTACTTTAAACCTCCACGGCACCCTACACATAGAAAAACGGTGGTATATTTAATAAGGACGGGAGTCTGCTTGGGTCGGGGGAGGCCATCAGTAAAATCAACTGGAGATCACAATGTGTCTCGGAGTAGGACTGCTGATCTGGGATCAGTTTAGCCTTTCGGATCATAATGGATACTACTACATGGACGGGGGGACGGGGGGGACGGGGCTGATCCTAGATCAGCAGTCCTACTCTGAGAGACTTTGTGAACACAGGCCCAGACGCCTTCCGGGCGACGATTATATTAATAGAGTTTCATTTTAAAGCAGGCTTGTTAAAATGTTAAGATGAATAGGTTATACTCCCCTGGTTGGTAATAGAACGTACACGTAAGTCTATCGGGAAGGGAACATCGAATTATGAGTCTTATGAGGGCGAACGCTATGCTGGTTTGATGTTTGTTTTTACAGCCAGTCTGTTTATATGTAGTCCTGTGATCTACGGGCTAGTTTCCCAGAAACAGAAAGCATGTCTAATGGAAATTCTCCATCGTAAAAGCTTCTTAGTCGGAGACTCGGCTTTAATCTGTCAGGAAAACCAGCCCAAAATGTTGTGTATTACCAATAGCCTTGTGAATGTGCACAATCCCCATACACGCCATCGTCTTTGACAGTCAGGGGATCGCTAACCAGAGCGACCAGAAGAAACACAATAGATTCGTCCCAAAACTCTTCAATCAACACCGTTCCATATCTTCTTTCCATCAGTCATCATAAACATTAACGGTGAAACTTGGATGATAGGTTTCCACAGTGTGTAAACCCACCAGGTCCTCTGAATACAGCAAAACCCACCAGGCCCTCTGAATAGGGCAAAACCCACCAGGCCCACTGAATACAGCAAAAACCCACAGGCCCTATGATATACAGAACAAAACCCACCAGGTCCACTGAATACAGCAACTCTGAATAGCAAAACCCCCAGGCCCTCTGAATACAGCAAACCACAGCCCTGATAGCAAAACCCAGGCCCACTGAATACAGCAAAACCCACCAGGCCCACTGAATACAGCAAAACCCACCAGGCCCACTGATACAGCAAACCACCAGGTCCTCTGAATAGCAAACCCACCAGGCCCTCTGATACACAGCAAAACCCACCAGGTCCTCTGAATAGGGCAAAACCCACCAGGCCCACTGAGTACAGAAAAACCCACCAGGCCCTCTGAATACAGCAAAACCCACCAGGCCCTCTGAATACAGCAAAAGCCTTGAAGGCCCTCTGAATACAGCAAAAGCCTTGAAGGCCCCCTGAATACAGTAAAACCATGAAGGCCCTCTGAATACAGTAAAACCATGAAGGCCCCTGAATACAGCAAAAGCCTTGAAGGCCCCCTGAATACAGAAAACCATGAAGGCCCTCTGAATACAGTAAAACCTGAGGCCTCTGAATAATAAAACCATGTTGAATACAGTAAAACCATGAAGGCACTCTGAATACAGCAAAACCAATGAAGGCCCTCTGAATACAGCAAGGCCCAAGTTGAATCCGTGTAGCGACACAGAATGTAAGCTCACAGATCAGGATGGTCGTATGAGGCTAAAGTGAGAGAGGTACAAACCCTGAAAGCCCTATAACCGTGAATGCCCTATAACCTGTGAAGCCCTATAACCTGTGAAAGCCCTATATGCTTTGTGTGAGATAAACATCAGCAACGCCCCTTGCCACCTCCCCAACCCGACAGATCAGTGCAATTAAATTGAATAAATCAACCAAAAAAAAACACACTTCATATTTGACACAGAAAATGAAATATTAAGTGCCCGATTAGGCTGGTGCAAAACCTTTTCACACGGATGCAGGTAGACATATATACACACACACACACACACACCCATCACACACACACACCCCTCACACACACACACACACATTCACTTCATAGTACACACTTCCACTCACTTTTTTGTAAATGCACACATTATCTCTCTCTCACACACACACACACACACACACACGCACACAAAGCAGGACGAACACGGCACCTCCACTGCCTCATCTTAAAAATATTTGTAACTCTGTGCAACACTGACTGAAAGACTCCCTCCACAGACCTATCATTCCATCTCCTCTAGAACAACCAGTGGTGCCAGCTCTGCCATTACAAGAACATTGGTCGCGGAGGCACTTGGCTATAATAGCATCAAATGGGTTTGAGTAAAACGTACTTGAATTAAAGGGATTCTTTGTTATTTGTTGTGGTTGATTTCAGTACTTCTACCTACCTTGTTCTATTTAAAATGATCACTTGTTCACATAAATGGCAGGACTACATCATACTATGATATCTGCAATCAGAGCAGCAAACCATAAAAGCAGAAAAAGTAGCCAATATATTAATATAATATGCCATTTAGCATATTGACAAGGCATTCAAAAAACAAAAGCAAGAATCCTGTCAGTTTAGGTGAAGGAAAAAATCTAATATTTTGCTGAAGCTAAAGCTAAAGCTACTGAAAAACAATCAAAAGCATCAGAGCTCATCCACTATCCAGAAGCTTCCAGGGAGAAGAGGGACAAAGGAGGGATGAATGGAGGGGGGTCAGTCACTACAATCATTGTCGTGTTGTGCTCTTGGTTTTTTCTTCTTTCTTTTCCAGTCCTCGCTCCCTCGTTTCTCAGTCCGTCGTCCTAGCTCCCACCTCCCTCGTTTCTCAGTCTGTCATCCTAGCTCCCTCCTCCCTCGTTTCTCAGTCCGTCGTCCTAGCTCCCACCTCCCTCGTTTCTCAGTCCGTTGTCCTAGCTCCCACCTCCCTCGTTTCTCAGTCCGTCGTCCTAGCTCCCTCCTCCCTCGTCCTCCTCCTTATCCTCCTGCTCCTCCATGTTCTTGCGTGCCATCCTCTCCCGCCTCTCTGCCAGGCGCTGGCACCGCGGGCACTCCTTGCCTGCCCGGAAACATTTGCTGTGGAAACACGCCTTGCACTCTGAAAGACAAGACAACACAAAAGAAAGAGGTCAGTGCAAAAGCTACCATACTGAAACAATATGTAAGAGACACAGACAAACACACACAACTCGTATCCACATGGGTGGGGTCCATTTAAAAAAGACATTGTCTTGTGGATGTGCAGAGGAAGAATGCAAGGACATATATGGACAACGTCCTTATTCACTCAAAAGAGGTGTTCCATCTCATAACTCCCCTGCTAACCAACTAAGCAAACATGGGGGCGCGTTCGGCAACGGTAATAACCGGTTTGACAACATTTCTCACAATGGGAAGAGGGCTGAGGCGCTGTGATGTCACGGCAGAAGAACCAATGATAGTCTCTGAAGTGAGGGGGAGGGGTGACAGAGGACTATAAAAAAAGAGGTAAGGCTGGTGGCAAGGCAGAAGGTGGGAGAGAGGAGTGGTAAAACACAGAAACCTGTCAAAGAGTCAGTTCCCTATTCAAACCAGTTCAGACATGACCGCAATGAGAAGCCTATCCTCAATAGAGGCAGAGACACTGCTTCTAAAGCTCAGACTTGTGTGCCTGAACCAGTTCAAGAAACATCTGTGTGGAAGCGTCAATTGTATACTTTTTTTAAACAATATTTTCTAATGAATATATTTTTCCCACGATAATGAAATGACAAAGAAACTGAAATTCACAAATGTGTTTATTTTACATTCAAACAGAGAAGTTGATGCTTAAATAATAATGGTGGACAGCCAGTCACACATCATAATAATAAAAACCCTTTCTGTCACTCCAATTCATCGTCCTCCATTACGTACACATGAAATAGGCCCATATCTTCATTCCTCAAGCTTCACAATATAAACCTGTCTCTGTACTTAAATAAAACACTAAGAACCACTTTCAAATACTAAATAACTTTACAATTCTGACAGGGGATGCAGACAGCAATAGCAACTCTTTGGCAAATTATGCCATGTCACATTTTAAATTCATGAACACAGCTGACAAACACTGTAGCCTATACCTCGGTTAAAAACAATGTTATTTGGCATTACCTCTAACATTTACATTCCTTACATCAAAAGGTGAGGCCAGTAGGACCTTTTGACCTTTGACAGCCATACTGAGTAGAGGCCAGAGGTCAGTGAGGCACCATGGAGAGGCCAGACAACAAGATCAAACAACTGTGGCAGCCACAACCAAAGATGTCAGATCATACTACAACTAACTACCTTACACCAGTAGTGCCACCCTGCACCAGAAAACCAGTTCAACCACCACCCTGCACAAGCAAACCAGTTCAACCACCACCCTGCACCAGAAAACCAGTTCAACCACCACCTTGCACCAGAAAACCAGTTCAACCACCACCATAGTGAGGGAAACCAGTTCAACCACCACCACCACCATAGTGAGGGAAACCAGTTCAACCACCACCACCACCATAGTGAGGGAAACCAGTTCAACCACCACCACCATAGTGAGGGAAACCAGTTCAACCACCACCATAGTGAGGGAAACCAGTTCAACCACCACCACCATAGTGATGGAAACCAGTTCAACCACCACCACCATAGTGAGGGAAACCAGTTCAAACCACCACCATAGTGAGGGAAACCAGTTCAACCACCACCATAGTGAGGGAAACCAGTTCAACCACCACCACCATAGTGAGGGAAACCAGTTCAACCACCACCATAGTGAGGGAAACCAGTTCAACCACCACACCATAGTGAGGGAAACCAGTTCAACCACCACCACCACAGTGAGGAAACCAGTTCAACCACCACCACCATAGTGAGGGAACCATTCACCACCACCACCATAGTGAGGAACATTCACACCCCATGTAAGGGAAACCAGTTCAACCACCACCATAGTGAGGGAACCAGTTCAACAACCACCAACCATAGTGAGGGAAACCAGTTCAACCACCACCACCATAGTGAGGGAAACCAGTTCAACCACCACCACCATAGTGAGGGAAACCAGTTCAACCAACCACCACCATAGTGAGGGAAACCAGTTCAACCACCACCACCATAGTGAGGGAAACCAGTTCAACCACCACCACCATAGTGAGGGAAACCAGTTCAACCACCACCACCACAGTGAGGAAAGCTCAATCCACCACACACACAGGAGCGCAAAGAATTCCACGCAAGAAGTGATCAACAATGAAATTAACGAGGGAGTTGAAATTCTAGGCTGTGACTGCCAATGTGAATTGATACCCATGTAAACAATATCCTAGGTTGCATATTTCCATACCAATTCACCTCGGCCCACCTGTCTTCATTAAGTCTCTTAATAACTCTTTATGACAACTAGTACAAGTCAATGGCAATGAGAATGCTATACATTCTGCATCTCTAAATCATGTCTTTTGGAATTGGATGATATTTTCCTAATTCCAAATTGACCAGTAGGCCATAGGGGTTGATTGGGACAGCAACTGATCTGGGATTGATTGTAACCAAACCTTCTCTTGGTATTCCCTACTATTCTCTACATCCTTCCCAATACTCAGAGAGGGAATTTATTTCTGTTTGGAAGTCAATGAAAAGCTGCTTTCCCTCCTCTCCTCCCTCCATCCTCCTGTTTCTACCCTTCCTCTATCTGTCTTCTCTTCCTCCTCTGTTATGTTAGGCTTGGCTAGAGAGCCTTGGTCACCGCCCTCCATCTATTGCTCTGTTCCTCCCCCTTTACTTCTCTCCTCCTCCTCTGTCTCCACCCCCCTCTACTTCTCTCCTCCTCCTCCTCCTGTCTCCACCACCCTCTCCTCCCACTTTACTTCTCTCCTCCTCCTCTTGTCTCCTCCCACTTTACTTCTCTCCTCCTCCTCTTGTCTCCTCCCCCTTTACTTCTCTCCTCCTCCTCTTGTCTCCTCCCCCTCTCCTCCTGCTTCTCCTCCCTCTCCCTCCTACCTATTGTCATCCTCCTGGCTTTGCGTGTTTTGCGGGATCTCCAGTTAGATGGGGTCTCAGTCTCCTGCTCTTCCATTCCCTCTCTTTCCTTTCCCTCTCTTTCCTTTCCCTCTCTTTCCTTTCCCTCTCTTTCCTTTCCCTCTCTTTCCTTTCCCTCTCTTTCCTTTCCCTCTCTTTCCTTTCCCTCTCTTTCCTTTCCCTCTCTTTCCATTCTCTCTCTTTCCATTCCCTCTCTTTCCTTTCCCTCTCTTTCCTTTCCCTCTCTTTCCTTTCCCTCTCTTTCCATTCTATCGGTTTCTTCACTCATCTTCCTCCCCTCTTTCTTTCTGGTGTCTCTGGAGAAAATGTTGCGCAACCTAAGCCCCAAAAACCTCTCCCCTTTCACCGTGATCCCTCCATCCTCTCCTCCCACTACTACCCTACTGTTACTCTCCTCTACTTCACTTTCTCCTTTTTCCCAAGAATCTTTTTGAAAGAATTTCCCTTTACTTTCACACTTTTCTAATTCCTCTGCCTCTTTTTTCTCTTCCGCCTCTACTTTCCCTTTTGAGAAAGCCTTCGCTAGCCTCCCGACCCCTGGAACCATCCAGAGTCCTCTCCTCTCTTCCTTCTCTGTCCCTTCCTCATCCCCCTGTTTTTCTTTCTCTCTTTCACCGGATCCATTGTCCTTGGAGAAAGTGTTGGTTAGTTTGCTGACACCGAGGTCCTTAAATAAGTGGCCCTTCTCTTTCTTCACGTGTTCTTCTGCACTTCCCTCACAGTCTTCCCTCACCTCCCTTTCTTTGTCCTCCACAGTTTCATAGTTTCCTTCCACCTCTACTCCTTCCCTCTCTCCTTCTCTCCCTCCCTCTAGCTCCCCATCTTCTACCCTTCCTTTACTCCAAAAGGCCTTGGCCAGAGTTCCATGTCTGAACGCTGTGAATAACAACCTCGTCTCCCATTCTGTTCTCCTTCTCTCCTTCTCTCCCTCTCCAGTCCATTTGTCCTTATCTTCCCTTGCCTCACTCTCTTCCTCTTCCTCTTCCTCTCCTCCCTCTCCCTCTCTCCTGTCTTGGGACAGGGCCCTGGCCAGCCTGCGGAACTTCCAATTTCTCCAGGAGGGGGTCAGGAAGGGAGAGGGGGGGCCCGCGGGACACCCAGTCCTCCCACCAGCAGGGGGGGCTCACCTTCGCAGCACGTGCACTTGTTCAGCTCGAAGGGGAAGATGATGTCTTTGTCGTTGCCGCAGAACTCACACACGAAGCCCTTGGCCTGACACAGCTGTGGGAGACAAAGACAGCAAGAGGGGAAATTGAAGGCATACACTGAGAATAAAACAATTTTTTACTTTTAAAATGTCACGTTAGGACACCCTCAAGTCCACTGGCACACACGGCACAAATAGTCATTTGACACATACAGTACCTGCCATCTTATAGAACGACAACGTCAGAATGTTAGTTCACAATCACACTGGATTGGTGACGACCTATCATGCAACTCATATGGATAGAATGTACACACCCATATCAAAATGAATGTCTCTATTACAGGATATGAGCGTTAACAATAGTGACAACAGGAGTATCTAGTTCATGATAAGTCAATGCATTCTCACCACACAGCCGGTCACGTGCGCGGAACCCAATTTCAGCAGCTCCCGTAGCCGTGGGGCCAGCTCTCCGTTGCGCACAGCGCTGAGGTCGCTGAGGGAGAACAGGTGCAGGTCCTCAGTCAGGTGACAAGGGAGGCTGTCGAACTGGTCCAGCACGCTGTGGGGCGAAACACAGGGACACGCGTCAGGGGAATTCACACCATCCATAACTGGAATACTTTACCTGACAGTGCAGACACATAGCAGTAGCAGAGGAATACTATTTTAGAAGACATGTCAATGGAATGGACTGTCTCATACCAACAATACCAGTCATTGCAGGAGGACGCACGCGCACACACACACACACACACACAACTTACTCTCTAGCTAGGCGGCAGGTCTTGAAGAGATTTTTCATGTGGAATAGTTGGACCCTCAAAACCTGAAGAATAGTAGGAAAATTCACTTAGTTTACAGAACACATTTCAAACTCATAACTGTAACGCATTTTCCTTCTAGTACGAGTGGGTTACAGTAAAATGAACTAAAGTCAAGTAAAATAACTAACCAAACCAAACCTAAGATAAGATCAGATAAGCATTAAACTAGACTAACCAGGCTAAAGCATAACAAAGTTCAGTCCTCTCACCCGGACAGTCTCCAGCACTTTGTTCTTCTTGTAGAGGCTACTGTTGACGTCGTTGGGGTTGAACAGGGGGTCTCCTGATATCTTGCCCAGCAGGTCCCGGGCAAAGTTGCTGACGTAGTACTTGCTGAAGTCCCACTTCCTCAGCACGCGGCCCGGCACCACCGCCTGGGCGTTCTCGTGACAACACTGGCAGAAGTAGCGGCCCAGGTACTCGCAGTAGCGCAGTCGCTTGATGTAGTCTGTCCAGTGGAGGGGAGGAGGGGAAACAGAGTGGGTTTTAATGTGAGTGAGGCAGGGGGTGAGGTTTGACACAAAATGGCCGCCGTAGGATAGGGATAACATGGGTGGTCGTGCTTTGGCAGCGTGTGTCTTCAATATGGTTTGTACCTGGGTCTATGCGAGTCCCGCAGCCTGCACAGCGGTAGTTTTGCTTAGCCACAACTATCTTCCTCCTGATAGAGAGTAAAGGGGAGGGGGGAGGGTTAGTGAGACAGAAAAATAAAAATAGACAGAACGCGAGACAAAGAGACAGACAGACAGAGGGAGAGAGACACAGAGAGAGAGAGGGAGAGACAGAGAGAGAGAGAGAGAGAGAGGGAGAGACAGTGAGAGGGAGAGGGAGAGAGAGAGAGAGAGAGAGATAGAGAGCCAGCGAGAGAGAGATGGAGAGACAGCGAGAGAGAGAGAGGGGGGGAGAGAGAGAGAGAGAGGGAGAGACAAAAAGGGGTAGAGGCAAACAGAGAATAGTGTGAAGTCAGCAACTAAGTTTGTGACCCGTGTGTTTGTGTGTGTGTGTGTGTGTGTGTTAAGGACTCACTTGGGCGCGGGGTGGATGTTGAAGATGATCTGGGGTCGCGGCGGGGCCCACTCCAGGTTCCCTCGCACCCGGATCCTCAGCTTGTAGATGTCAGCATGCTCCCCGTCGTCAGGAGAGATGGGCAGGGAGTCAGGGATGGGCAGGAGCTGAGGGGTAGAGGCAGGATACAGGTCAGTTTGTGTGAGTGTAGGGGTGTGTGTGTGTGTGTGTGTGTGTGTGTGTGTGTGTGTACCTTCTGTGGTGCGTCTTGCTCTGGGACCAGCCAGTCGAGCTCCGAGGCTGCGGGGAGCTGCATGCCCTCAAACTGCCTGAGGAGCCCCATGGCCACCGACTCAGCCGAGTTAGACTGGAGGAACGACGGAGAGCTGAGGAGAGAGAGAAAAATGTATCGTAGTAATAGAGAACAAGCATACACCAAACATCCCCGAACAACAGCTTAATTTGAACTACCACAAACAGCTTAATTTCAACTACCACAAACAGCTTCATTTCAACTATCACAAACAGCTTCATTTTAACTACCACAAACAGCTTCATTTCAACTATCACAAACAGCTTCATTTTAACCACCACAAACAGCTTAATTTCAACTACCACAAACAATAGCCCAATTTTAAGTACCATAAACAATAGTCTAATTTTAACTACCACAAACAAAAATAGCCTAATTTTAACTACCACAAACAAAAATAGCCTAATTTTAACTATGTCGCCTTTTCTTTTTCAACTTTACCTCTGTGCTTGATAAGGGTTTGATCGGAACCTAAAAATTCTGTCTATAGTCCGGCCCACTCCACGGACTACCATTCTTCATTGGGCCAAGGAGGGGTGTGGCCAAGGCCAGGGGCAGGAGAAATCAATGTCAAAATATACAATATTGGTGAGAGATTTCGAGTGGAATACTATGGGATGTTGGAGTCAGCAAGCCTAGGCTAGTTTGAAAATGTGAGGGGTTTCGAAGAAGTGAATCTGGTAAAGAGCTACAAGCCTCAATGAAAACTAAGTGGAAACTAGGCTATTATGGATCACTAGGCTATTATGGATCACTAGGCTATTATGGATCACTAGGCTATTATGGATCACTAGGCTATTATGGATCACTAGGCTATTATGGATCACTAGGCTATTATGGATCACTAGGCTATTATGGATCACTAGGCTATTATGGATCACTAGGCTATTATGGATCACTAGGCTATTATGGATCACTAGGCTATTATGGATCACTAGGCTATTATGGATCACTAGGCTATTATGGATCACTAGGCTATTATGGATCACTAGGCTCAGGGGATGAAAGACAACTAGCATATGACCGACAAAAGTCATTAAACCAACTGAAAGAAAATCCCGACCGGTCTGATGGAAACAGGAAATGCCAGGACAAGTAAGTAAGCATCTGCCTCTGATTTCAAAGGTTGCAAGTTCGAATCCAGCAATAGAAAAGCAAACATTTTGACTGTACAGCTACAAGGATGCACTTTCATGCTAGGTTTAGGACCTCATATTGAAGCTTATAGAGACACCAACTGATGTATAGAATAATCTTTAAATTATCTACTGTTATCTACTACTGGTTTAGATACAAGTATCATGAAACCTCTAACACAATAAATTCATTTGACTTTGGTGAAAATCCGTTTTTTTGGACTTAACTTGCTTACCACTTTTTCCATGTGGTTTCTTCCTTCACAGACTCCATGAAATGATGACCTCTTCCTAAATATTTGGTCGAATGATTCATTTTTGTGTATGGTTTCCTAGAAACAAGGGCGGCTCAGCTTCCCCCTTTGGCTCAACGTACTCCACTCTCCCCTAACAGGAGTCGGCAACCTTTTTCAAGTGAAGTGCCAATTTATAATTTATCCTACCATTTCTACCGATCTGCACGCCAGTTATGATTTTCACATGCGCATTACAACTAATTGTGCCCATAGATTATACACTTTTGGAGATCTTGGTTAAGACTTATCCTATCAGAGGGCAAGTTGGTGCTCTTAACAAATTGTTTACACCTGTCAAATCCTCGCAAATCTCCACAAGTGCACAAGGGTCTAGAGGTCGATTTGGCCTACATATTTGAAGCTAGCAGGGGGGTTGTGAAGGGAGGAAGCAGTTCTTACATAGACTCTGATCTCAGGAAAGAGCGGCCACTGGATGCCACGCCGCGCTTTATGTCTGCATCTGTATGTGTGAGAGAGAGAAAGAGAGAGACAGAGAGAGAGAGAGAGAGAAGGCTCTACTAGCATCATTTGGTTCAAAAGAAAGGCATCAAATTCAGACAATCAAAGAAAAATCACTACCTTTTTATGCAAAAGGACTGATAGATTAACCCGTTAGTTCACTGCAAATTCTGACATATTCAACAAGTGCCCTTTGTCTTATGAAAGCAAACCACACAGCAGTATTTCTCACCAGAGCTAGAATTATCATCTCATCATTTATGAATAGCTACACCCTTATAGAACACAACTAATACGATTTGGTGGTAGTCCTTTGTAAAGCTCTTTACTCTAGTCTCGCATGTGTAGTATCTGATGTTTATTTTAAAAGGAGCTATACGTAATATAGTTGCATTGTCTTTTCAGAAAATGTCAATATATCTACACTAATAGTGTAATGATAGCATTTCACAATATCTCCCCCCCCCAAAAAAATAAATAATTGGGCCCACACAAAATTGAATTATAATGGTGCAGCCTTCTTATTGGTCAAACAAAAGACGGACCGTCTCGTCAAATTGACTGGGGCCGAGTGAGTTCTACATGTTTGACGCTTACCCTTTGCTGGCCCCTAGTCAATTTGCAATTTTGAAACACTATCATTCCACTATTACTGTAGATATATTAAGGACATTCTGAAATTACAATGCAAAACATTACATATACCTCCTATAATGCAAGCCAGACTGTCATTGCTACCACTGCAGCACAGTGGAAATTGGCAACTTGACAAAGTGGAATGATTATTAGGTAGTTCCTGTTTCTAGGTGGAACTGAAAAGCAGTGAGACCGTGTGGAGTACCAACACCACTGGATGTGCATCAGCGAGGCCATCTCATGCACACAGAAAGCCTCAATCAATTGGTGAGTGAATGGATGGATGAATGAAGGAAGACACCATAGCAGCAGCAGCTATGCACTGCTGCCAACAAATTGACAAGTCTAACTGAAGACCCCCACCGACATCAAAACCATAGGCGTATAAATAAACTCACACCTCATCTCTCTAACTCTGGAGCAGCAAAGACATTATGAAGCCCAAATGCCAGGCCAGCGTCTAGCTGGATTCCAAATGGGGAAACCTTTCCCTCTGAAAGGACTAGGTACCAATGGGCACCGATCTGGAAGATATTATACCAAATGAAAAGTTCAAAAGAAAAAAGGTAGAGTCATTGACATATTGCTTAAAGCTGTCCATATGATGCTAACCCAAAGATATACAGTGAGGGAAAAAAGTATTTGATCCCCTGCTGATTTTGTACATTTGCCCACTGACAAAGACATGATCAGTCTATAATTTTAATGGTAGGTTTATTTATAAACAGTGAGAGACAGAATAACAACAAAAAAATCCAGAAAAACACATGTCAAAAATGTTATAAATTGAATTGCATTTTAATGAGGGAAATAAGTATTTGACCCCTCTGCAAAACATGACTTAGTACTTGGTGGCAAAACCCTTGTTGGCAATCACAGGTCAGACGTTTCTTGTAGTTGGCCACCAGGTTTGCACACATCTCAGGAGGGATTTTGTTCCACTCCTCTTTGCAGATCTTCTCCAAGTCATTAAGGTTTCGAGGCTGACGTTTGGCAACTCGAACCTTCAGCTCCCTCCACAGATTTTCTATGGGATTAAGGTCTGGAGACTGGCTAGGCCACTCCAGGACCTTAATGTGCTTCTTCTTGAGCCACTTTGTTGCCTTGGCCGTGTGTTTTGGGTCATTGTCATGCTGGAAAACACATCCACGACCCATTTTCAATGCCCTGGCTGAGGGAAGGAGGTTCTCACCCAAGATTTGAAGGTACATGGCCCCGTCCACCGTCCCTTTGATGCGGTGAAGTTGTCCTGTCCCCTTAGCAGAAAAACACCCCCAAAGCATAATGTTTCCACCTCCATGTTTGACGGTGGGGATGGTGTTCTTGGGGTCATAGGCAGCATTCCTCCTCCAAACACGGCAAGTTGAGTTGATGCCAAAGAGCTCCATTTTGGTCTCATCTGACCACAACACTTTCACCCAGTTCTCCTCTGAATCATTCAGATGTTCATTGGCAAACTTTAGACGGGCCTGTATATGTGCTTTCTTGAGCAGGGGGACCTTGCGGGCGCTGCAGGATTTCAGTCCTTCACGGCATAGTGTGTTGCCAATTGTTTTCTTGGTGACTATGGTCCCAGCTGCCTTGAGATCATTAACAAGATCCTCCCGTGTAGTTCTGGGCTGATTCCTCACCGTTCTCATGATCATTGCACCTCCACGAGGTGAGATCTTGCATGGAGCCCCAGGCCGAGGGAGATTGACAGTTTTTTTGTGTTCCTTCCATTTGCGAATAATCGCACCAACTGTTGTCACCTTCTCACCAAGCTGCTTGGCGATGGTCTTGTAGCCCATTCCAGCCTTGTATAGGTCTACAATCTTGTCCCTGACATCCTTGGAGAGCTCTTTGGTCTTGGCCATGGTGGAGAGTTTGGAATCTGATTGATTGATTGCTTCTGTGGACAGGTGTCTTTTATACAGGTAACAAACTGAGATTAGGAGCACTCCCTTTAAGAGTGTGCTCCTAATCTCAGCTCGTTACCTGTATAAAAGACACCTGGGAGCCAGAAATCTTTCTGATTGAGAGGGGGTCAAATACTTATTTCCCTCATTAAAATGCAAATCAATTTATAACATTTATGACATGCGTTTTCTGGATTTTTTTGTTGTTATTCTGTCTCTCACTGTTCAAATAAACCTATCATTCAAATGATAGACTGATCATTTCTTTGTCAGTGGGCAAACGTACAAAATCAGCAGGGGATCAAATACTTTTTTCCCCTCACTGTATATATTTTTTATATTATTTCATCCTAATTTGTTTCAGGTCATGCTGCTAACCCATGCATGCCTACCCATGAACATCAGTCACTCAAAAAGGCAGAGAGAGTAAGGGGACATGCGTTCTTCCTCAATTAATCTTTCCTTGATTCCTCGCCTCCACCCTCCTCACCTCCTTCGGTTGAGGAAGAGGTGAGGAGACAGGATGGGAGGAATCGAAGAAAGATAAATTGAGGAAGAGCCATGGAATCTAGCTACATTAGTCTAGCCCTCCACTAGGCTTGGACAGTATACCATATATACCGTATACC